GGTTTCTACAATCAATCAAAAAAAGTTTTTTTAATTTTTCCCAGATATGAGGCATGTTTCTCAGTCACTAAAATGGCTGCATTAACAACAAAAAAAAATTATTCCAAATAAACTGGTCAAGGGAAGGGCTAGATTTACAGCATTCAAAACACAACATAAAATATAGCATTACAGGCCAGGCGCGGTGGCTCACGCCTGTAATCCTAGCACTCTGGGAGGCCGAGGCAGGAGGATCGCTTGAGGTCAGGAGTTCGAGACCAGCCTGAGCAAGAGCGAGACCCCGTCTCTACTAAAAATAGAAAGAAACTATCTGGACAACTAAAAATACATAGAAAAAATTAGCCAGGCATGGTGGCACATGCCTGTAGTCCCAGCTACTTGGGAGGCTGAGGCAGAAGGATCGTTTGAGCCCAGGAGTTTGAGGTTGCTGTGAGCTAGGATGACGCCATGGCACTCTAAGCCCGGGCAACACAGTGAGACTGTCTGAAAAAAAAAAAAAAAATATATAGCATAACACCTGTAGAAAATCTAGGTTGTGAATATATGGATTACTGCACGCTTCTTTTGGTTTTTGTTTCTGAAAACCCTCATGCTAAGTTGAGAGGAGTATAACAAAGAGGCTCTACAATGGAACCTAATGCCTTAATAGCAGCACGGTCAGAGTTTCTCGGTAAGGCCATCCAAAACAAAAGTCATTAGACATTTAGTTTCTTGATTGACAAGTCCTAAACATGCAACAACTTGCTGCCTTACAATGAGTCACTGCTCCCCTCAGACCTTCCCAATATGGAAGAAAAGCAATAAAGATTTAACATAAACTACCCTGGAAGCCAAAAAAACCTGTGTATGAATGCTACCTCAGGAGCCACTTGATCTGCCTGAGCCTGTTTATCTGCAACAAAAGGGAGCTACCAGGGAGAAACTGTTAAACGAGATTTGCCCAAAATGGCCTAATTCAGTAGCTGCCACCAAGCAGACATGGCACCTGATTGTCCCTCTTAGCGCACCAGGGCAGCATGATGAGCGGCCACCACCCAGACCGCACTTACGATGATCTTAAGGAAGTAGTTGGACTTCCAGGTCGCCCTGTCTTCCCTGGGCATCACGGCGGTGCGTCAGGGATTGCCACGCAGGGTTTAAAGACGATGTCACTGAAGGGAGAGAGGGAGCTCAGACCCAGGCACCCTGACACCGTGCCGGGGTCCGAGGCCTATGCGGAACAAGCCACGCGCAAGCGCCCGCCGGCCTGGCCTGGGCAGCCGCCGCCGCCAGTCAGGGAGCGCAAGCCCCGAGGCCCCAGGGAAATAGGCCCAGACCCCAGGGCCCCCCAAACCTCCTCAAAGCTCTCCCAAAGACCCCCACATTTCCGACCACCACGTCATGGCGCAAGTCCAGCGGCCACACGAACCTCACACGAGGACGCCTGGCGAGAAAGGGGCCGCACGCCGGCGCATGCTTTTTATATGTGAATAAAGTGGCCAATCAGAAGCCGCAGACGGCGCCCCTGTCCATTGGCTGATGCAGTCATTCACTCGACGAAGCCGAACTTACATAGGCAGCCATTGGATGCTATCTCTGTCACTCCAGCCAACGGGAAGCCGCCTTTGAGTAAGGTAGTCAGGAAACACTGCCTTGTGTTGGAGGAGCTTTCTCAGAGCTGCTGCCATCTGCTGGGCTGGAGCTGCCTTCGTGTAGGCGGCAAGGTTTGAGGATTCGGAGTCCGGTGCCACCTGGCCACCTCAGCGAACTAAACAGTGTGACGTGGAACTGAGAAATAATTGCACATGCTGAGAAACAGAATGGTCTCTTGTCTTCCCTAGTTTGTGTTTTCCTGCTACCAAAACAGAGGAATCTTTTAAAACCTAAGTAGACTTATGTCTTTCTCTGCTCAAAACTCTTTAAAGGCTTCCCATTTCCTTCAGAGTTAAAAGCCTAAAACGGGCTGTGGCTCACACCTGTAATCTTAAAACTCTGGGAGATCGTAGGCGAGAAGATCCCTTGAGGTCAGCCTGAGCAAGAGTGAGACCCCATCTCTACTAAAAAATAGAAAAAATCAGCTGGGCATGGTGGCGTGCACCTAGAGTCCCAGCTACTCAGGAGGCTGGGGCAGGAGGATCGCTTGAGCCCAGGGGTTTGAGGTTGCAGTGAGCTATGACGATGCCACTGCACTCTAGCCGGAGTGACAGAGTGAGACTCTATCTCAAAAAAAAAAAAAAAAGCCTAAAACGTAAAACTGCCTACAAGGCCCTACCTGATCTGCTTGCCGCCTCCATCCCAATAATCTCATCTCCTATTTTTCCCACTGACTTGTTGCCTTCCAGCGAGATGATGCTCTGCTGCTTTTGCATTGGCTATTCCCTCTTCCTGGAAGGCTCCTAGCGGCCCAGCCAATATCCACAAAGGAACCCACCTCCAGCAGATCTTGGCGCAAATATCACCTGCTCAATGAGGCCTACCCTGAGTTCCCTGTTTCAAATTACAAAAAAACCCACTCCCACTCCCCCATGCTCTGTTCTATTTTCTCGGTAGCAATTACACCTTCTAACACACTATGTAATTTATTTATTACATTCTTGTCTGTTTCTCCCCTGCAGGAATGCAAGCTCTGCAAGGGAGAGATTTTTGTCTTGTGCCTGGCACATAGTGGACATATGATAAATATGTGTTGAATGAATGAATGAATGAATGCAGGACTTGACATCAGATGACCTGTATCCCTAACCTTGTTCTGCCACTTGCTAGCTGTGTCATCTCAGGACGTGATTTCACCTTGTTGACCCTCTGCTTCTCTTTCCTTATCTGTAAAATGAAGATAATAACAGCACTCACTTTCTAGAGTTGCTATGAGGATTAAATGTGTTAAGACTTAGCAGAGTTCCTGGAATGTAGGAGGAAAATGTTAGCTTCTTCTATTACACATCCATTTAATATTTATTTGAATAATTATGCTATATCAATAAATACCTTTGTGAGCGAAAGATTTTATGGCAGAAGGGGTGTTTCTCTCTTCCTCCACCCTTTTCAGTTGACCAAGTTAGAAATTTCCAGCGAGTTTATCTGAACCATATGTGACCAACAGATGGTTGGCTGTATGTAGTCCCAAGTTCTGTTTCTCTAGACTTTCCCCCAACAAGGCTGGTCTAAGATTGGAGCTCTAATATTCCTGTCCTGTGTCTAACTTTGTTGTAGCGTCTCTTTGGACAGTTACTCGTGAAGCCACCTTTTCAAGAAACTGTTAGCAGGATCTATTCCCGAACCTGACTAAATATCCAAGTCACCAGAGGAGCTTTGTAAAAGTATGAATCTTCGGGTCCTACTCCAGGCCTACTGGATCAGAATCTACAGGAGTGGGTCCTATGAGTCTGTATTTTGTTTTAAAGCCTCCTAGTGCCTCTACGAGGATCAGCCTGGCTTGAGTACTGCTGGAATCAATTACCGCTAAGATCACTTTTTTTCTTTTTCTGTTTTTTTTTATAGACAGGGTCTCACTTTGCCACCAGGCTGGAGTGCAGTGGCATCATCTTAGCTCACAGCAGCCTCAAACTCCTGGGCTCAAGATCTTCCTGCGCCAGCCTCCGGAGTAGCTGGGACTACAGGTGTACATCCCCACACACGGCTGATTTTTCTATTTTTAGTAGAGACAGGGGTCTCACTCTTGCTCAGGCTGGTCTCGAACCCCTGAGCTCAAGGAATCCTCCCACCTCAGCCTCCCAGAGCGCTAGGGTTACAGGTGTGAGCCACCGCACCCAACCCTAAGATCACTTTTTAATGACACAGCACGCTTAGCATTGTGCTGGGTACATTGTGCCCATTACCGACGTTAATCTGCAACAATCCTCTGAGGAGATAGAGGGCTGCATTAGTCTTCCCATTTTATTGATGAGAAAACTCACAGAAAGGTTAAATAATTTGCCCAAGTCTCTCAGCCAGTAAATGATGGTTTCAGAATCGAAATCCAGAAGCACGTTCAAAGCCCATGGGCCTCGCTGCGCTATACAGTCCCTTCCAATCCTTGACTCTGTCTCCCTCTAAATGCACTTTCCCAAGTATATACGTACGCACATGGTGCATTTCCAAGGACATCCTGGCTCTGATGATATAAATATCACCTCTAATTATAGCACATCAATATAATGGAATACGATGAAGCCATTAAAAAATGATGCAGATCTATATTTATTGACATGGGAAAATATCCACAAGGCAAAGTGAAAAAGCAAATCATGATGAAGTGTACCCATTTCTATAAATAAAATGGATCCAACGTGGGCTGGAAGAATAAACGAAGTCATTCTATTTGGGTGAGGGCTGAAGGTAATTTGCACTTCTGAGCTCACTGTGGCATGGTTAGGGTTCAGAGTAGAATTCACATGTTGCTTTTGGCAAACAACAGGGAAACTGGGAAGACACAGCTCAAGGCGGGACAGTGCTGTCCAGGAAGCTCTGTGGATTTAGGACTGGAGCTCTGGATTGGGAAGGAGCAAAGAGGAAGCATGCAATCATGGCCGTGGCCACGAGGAGGCAGTAGAGACCCATCCGCTTCGGTCGGGAGGGGGCTACACCCAAGGTGTGTGTCTGTAGGGTCAAGATGGAGTCTGGCTCAACGCAGGAATGCAGGCAGCGGCAAGCCCTGGGTTCACATCGTGCCTCTGCTCTCACTCAGAGGATTGACTTGTGCATGTGGGGTCTCCTCTTGGAACCTCTGTCCCCGTCTGTAAATGAGTGGAAGGCTGCCCTCAGGGAATCCACAGGAAAGCGCCCAAGGCAGGGCCTGCTCCACACAGAGCCCAGCCTTCCCCTACCGACTGCCCAGGCAAGAGCAAAGCCCACGTGGGCGCCAGGTGGGACCTGCACCCACAGGTACCATGGATCCTATCCGCAGGGATTCCGACCTCAAATCAGGGAACATGAATGGTTTACCCTCAATCTGCTGATCCTTCTGAGTCTGGGGAGGGTTTGGTCTCTCTGCTGGGACCACCAAGAAATGGCACTAGCACAGGTGAAAATAATGGCAAACTTTATTGGCATAAATCACAGGAATTGAAATGGGCAAAGCCAGAAGTTTACAGAGGAAAAAAATAATCAAAATCAAATTATCAAATAACCAATGACCCAGACGGTGGACCCCAGAAACCCCAGTCCCTCTTGGGGAGGGGCCTGGGGCGGGTCGCTGTAAACAGAGCAATAAGGCCTGTGGGTGGAAGTGGAGACATCAGAGCTCCGGAGGGGCCAGGTGGATCTCCCCAGCCCCCAGCCCCAGAGGGACCCTCTTCTGAGATCCCAGGGCTCTCAGCCTCTGCTAGGAGGCCAGTGTGGTCGTCTGAATCCTCCTCCTGTTAGGCCCCTGTGCGGTCCCTTTCCCTAGACCAGGAACCTCAGGCCTGGCTGCTCCTGTTTCATCCTTGGGACAGAGAGCTCTGGGGGCTTCCTGTTGCTCCAGCAGGGTCCCGTCGCCTTCTCGAAATCCTACCAGGGTCCCTCACAACCCCCTGGGGCCTTCTCTCCAGACCTCCTGAGTGTTGATCCCACCTGTACAAGGGGAAGAACCTGTACCCAGCCTCCCAGGAGGGCAGACGTGGGGAAGTGATATGCCCAGTGGAATCAACAAGACCAAAGAGACTTTCATAGTCCTCGTGGTCACAGTCTGCACCAGCTTTCCTGAGAAGGCAGAAGAGAGAGCCCCAGAGAAGCGGCGAGGAGGCTGAGCATGTTCAGTGGGTTCTCTTTGTTGCCAAGAAGTCCACAGGGGAGCAGAGGCTCCTGACGGCTTCCTCAGACAGGAAGCAGCCTCCAAAGTATACTTCCCCTTCTTCCCCGGGAGCAGAACAGATGAGGTTCCGAATTCTAGGCCAAGGACAAAGACACCCTTAGACCAGTTTCAGTTAAGAGCTTGCTGGCCTGGGCAGTAAGGAAGGGGTTTCAAAATACAGCAGTTTATAAAACAGTCCTGGTGAGCTATGAAGTGAAAGGAGGGGAGTCACAGAGCTGCTCCCCGATCACCTGCTTGTGCTAAGAAAAAATAAAATACAAATTGCTTCCCCAGCCCAGGCCCTCGGTACAAAGCAAACTCCATACCAAGGCCGCCGTCACTGACAGGCCCGGTGGCGGTAGACAAGGAGGAGAGTACAAAAGGGAACATCTTTAAAATCTCTTCAAAATCATTTTGTATAGAGAAGTAAAAGCAACTCAGGCGATAAGAATTCAAACCTCAGTGTAGAAATCTATCAAAGTCGGTACAGTGTCCAGGCACGGGTGACACCCCCACCTCACGCCAGCCCCGAGACAGAGGAAGTGACTAGAAAACCTTATTGCTGGAGAGGCCTTTCTCAGTAGAACCCGGGCAGGTATAAAAGGGAGGTTGTGGTGAGGGTTCAGGCGGGGGGCAGTCGCCCAGGCAGGCCTGGGGAGGCTGGAAGTGCAGAAGGAGCACAGGGAACCTTCTGTGGCCCCTTGGACTCTTCCACCCTTGGATGCATGGATGGATTTATGCTGGCATTGTCTGGAGGGAGCCAGGTGTCCCCCAGCACTCTCAGAACAAGGACAGTTAGGTTGGGGGACAAATAAGGATAAAGAGAGACCCCATCTGGCCCTGCCTGCCCTCCCCCCGCCCCGGCTCCACTGCTGAAATGATGAGTAAGAGATGGCTCCAGTGTGGGTGCTGGCCGGGCCAGGCCGGTTCACACGTGGGGTCGGGTGGGGCCCTCCTCCCTCTCCACCGCCGCCCCACCCCGCCCCAGGGAGGATGAAGAGTGGTCAGCCCGGGGAGAGCTGCAGGAGGAGGGAGGAGGCCCAGAGGCAGGGGTGAAGACGAGCAGGCGGGACCCCTCACGGCCTCTTCCCACCCTGCACCAGCTGAGGACGAGGGTTCCAGTTTCAGTCAGGTTTGCCCCTTCACCCCCGGGCGAGGTCTCTGGGTCACAGTAGCAGTCGAGGACGCTGGCTGGGGAAGGGGGGCTGAGGAAGGGAGTGGGGTGCCTAGCAGAAGAGCTTGAGGAAGCAGTTCTGACAGTAAGGCTTGTCGTTCTGCTCCTTGAAGGTGCCCTTGTTGAGCTGCTTGAGGCAGAAGGCACAGACGAAGTGCTCCGGGTGGAACTTCTTGGCCATGGCGGTGATGCAGCGGCCCGTGATGGGCTTCTGGCAGCCGGAGCACAGTGAGCCGCGCCGTAGGGCTGCCCGTCGTGCTCGAAGAAGCTGCCGTTGACGAATGGCGTGAAGCATTCCTGCGAGGCACAAGGAGGGGTGGAGTGGAAAGAGGGGGCTCAGGGGTCTGTCCCTTCCGGCTGGGGCAGCACCCAGTGTGACGGGCCAGAGACAGCATGGTTGGCACACTCCTGATGACTTGCTAGACATTTCCGACGTGCCAGGTGCTGCGCTAAACGCTATTCATTTCTCCCAGGGGAGGCGACTGGGGCGGACGAGTTAAGTGACTTGCCCAAGGTCACACAGCTGCCAAGCTGCACAGCCTGGACTCATAGATAAGTCTGACTCCTGGGCACTTAACCAGGTGGCTGTCACTGTGTTTCCAGAAACACTGGTGCTGGAAAAAAGGGTCTGTGGTCAAAGCTTGCATCCTAGATTCTTGTTTGGAAATTCAGGTGCACATTTAGGTATAAAAGGCTCTGAGAAGTCCTGCACTGAACAGTGTTTTTCCCAAACTTATTTGGACAGAGGGCCCTTGCTGAGTCTCTAATAAAAATGTGGGACCTCATGACCCCCCCCAGAATGCAGTTTGGAAATCACTGCCGACTTCTGTTGAGTCTGCTATATATTTGCATTATCTCATTTAATTCTCACATACTCCAGTTCTGAATATGACCGTCTCGGGGCCACTGTACAGGATGGGGGACGTGTCTACCTTGCTCCTGGTCTGTCCCAGCCTCAGTACAAGCCCTGGCCCAGAACCTATCAGACTTAAGGAAGTATATCCCACTGCCTGCTCACCCCATTAATAACCCCAAACGAGGCCTCCAAGTTGGATCCAGGCAGCACAAGGAAGAAAAGCCCCTCTCCCCACTGTCTGCTCCCAGCCCCCTCCAGAGGTGCCAGGGCAGGGGCCGGGGCCGGGGGGACTCCTTACCCGGCACACAAAGCACTCGGGATGCCAAAGCGTGTTGAGGGCCGAGATGTAGTTCTCCAGGATGGCCCGGGCACAGCCGCCACACTTGGGCGCGAACATGTCAAAGTAATCCTTGCGGCAGTAGGCCTTGCCGTCCTTCTCGTGGAACCCTGAGGAGCAGGGGTTTGGGAGACAGAGTTCAGGCTTCCAGAAGTAGAGTCACCCTGACTCTTACATCAACGGTCTCCCACCTCCCGTCTTCCCAGGCCTCCCAGGAGGTGGCGAGTTCGTCTGTCTGCCCGTACCTTCGGGACCGAAGAAGGCTCCACACTGGGCACAGAAGAAGTGCTCAGGGTGCCACGTCCGGTCAAGAGCTGTCACCACTTTCTGTGAAAGTAAAATATGGGATCAAAGCCAAGCTGCTGCCCCATTGGACAGATCCCACCACTGAGTCTCAGAGGCAAGGAAAGAGCAAAACACTCCGAGGTCAGGGTCTCTCCTAATTGGCCTGGGTATGAATCCCAGCCCAACTGTTTCCTAGCTGTGTGAGCCTCAGGATGTGCCCTGATCTCACCACCCGCACCCTCAGAGGGCTCCCGTGGCGACGAGCCGAGCCGGTGTGGCGCAGTGCCCGGACTGAAGCACTGGCCGCCCCTCCCCACCGCATGCGCCGTGGGACTCACATCCAGGATGGGGCCGTTGCAGTAGTAGCAGCGCGGGGAGAAGAGGTTGTGATAGTCCTTTTCACAGTAGGGCTGTCCATCCCGCTCGAAGAAGTTCCGGGATCCGATCTCCTCCTGGCAGTGGGTGCAGACGAAGTGCTCCGGGTGCCACGTCTTCCCCATGGCAGTCACAACCTGAGGGGGAAGACAGATTGCGGTGCAGGGCCAAGGCCAGGCGCAGAACACTCCCCAGAGCAGCACAGGTCCCCATGCCCACCGGCCGCCACCTCCCCCCCATCACCTGTCCGGCAATGGGCTTCTTGCAGGCCCCGCAGACCCCTTTGGCAACTGTGGCAACGCCCAGCTTGTTCAGGTCGGACTGCAAGCTCCCCAGCATGCTGTCTAGCTGGCTCCCGGGCTTTGGGGGTCCCCCAGGCGGTGAGCTGCTCCCCGTCTTCCCCTGGGCCATGAACTGTGGAGACAGGGAGAGGGGGCTGGTTAGGACTTTCGGTGCTTGGGCTTTGGGGTTTCGCGGTATCATGGCATGGGGGGCAGGGGGCAGTTTTCTCCCTCCTGGACAGATGAGCTGATTGAGGCAAAAAGTGTGACCTCCTCTAGGGGCCAGAAGAGCCCTAAACGTGGGAGTGGCATCGACAGGACCTTATGGTGGTCAGAGGAGCCCACAGACGGTCAAGAGCAAGGGTCCTGGCACCCTGCTGGCACGAGCAAGCCCAGGGAAAACATGACGTGCAGCAACTGAGCCCCCGGCCTTGGGCACTGACCCCTCCCTCGTCCTGCCCTCCGGGGCCGCTCTGCCCGCCGTCCGCCCAGCACAGCTCCCCATCCGCTCTGTGTTCCAGGCCCTGGATCTTAGGTGGGGGAGGAGAGGAGGATAAGAAATGCTTTTTAAGAGTTAAGGAAGAAAGGATAAGAGACTTGTCACTGGACCATGTCACGAAAGGGAATTTAGAATGGGATAAGACAATTTTCCCCCCACTGGCAGTACTAAAATCAGGAGGCAAAAATATCTAGAGAAAAACAGCCCGGAGAGGAAGGCCCAGGGAGGGGTGCAGAGGGAGAGGGAGGTGAGCCGCCCAAAGGCACAGCACACGGGAAGGGGAGGTGACCGTGGTCAGAGCCCGGGGAGGCCTCAGCAGGTGCCAGGCCTGGGGGAGGAGACGGGTTGCTGGTGACCCTTGGGAATGGCTTCCTTGGGTGGGAGCCCGGGGCAGTACTGGGGTGGCTGGGGAAGGGCAGGCAGAGGGGGGACCCCACAGCTGACACGGAGAGGGGTGGGGGCCTGGGCGTCAGGTTCAGCGAGGGTCCAGGGTCAAAGTCTCAGCAAGGACTGTGGTTACTGTGCTGGGGCTTGTGGATGGACAGTGTGTGTCTGTGTATGTGTCTGTGTGTGTATACACACACACACACATGTGCAGAGTGGGGGGTGGCTCGGGTATTAGGACGGGGACAGGAAGGGCCGGCGCTGGGGTCCCTGGGAGGCCTGCCTGCATTGGGGGGAAGAGCGGGTCCTCGTCGGTCTGGCAGCCCACGGACCTCATGGTGTGGGGTGCAGGAGTGGGAGGGGCAGGGCCCTGCACATCCTGGTCACAGGGCTCTTCCCCCACACTCGGGACCCCAGGAGAACCACGGGGGCAAGCTGAGGGCCCCGGGGGCGAGGGGGCGGGCAGGCTGGGCAGGGGAGAAGAGCTGCTGGCCGAGGCGTCTTTGCGATGCTGGAGTAAAGGGACAGAAGGAGGAGAAGCCAGGACAGAGATGGTTCTTCTCAGGGGAATGGGAGAGCCAGGAGGGAAGACAACCTGGGAGGAAGAAAGGAGGGAAAGAGATGAGGAAGACCGAAGAAACCACCAGCTCAGCCAGCGGGGATGGGAGGGACACCCCAGGCTCCCCCACGAGAGTGAGGCCAGCATTATAAGGCCACAGGACACAAGAACCACCCCACCACCCCCAAACCTGCCCCCTGGCCAGCGCTGGGGCCAGGGGAGAAACTGGACCCCTGCCGCCTAGCCCTGGCCCGGCCCCCAGCATCGCCTGGCCACCTTCTCTATGAGCTGCCCCCCGGCCCGCTTCCTGCATGGCTGCACAGTGATGATGACACCCTCGGTCAGCCAGTCCTGGGCAGAGGGCCCCGCCGCCTCCTCCTCCTCTGCCTCCAGCTGGATGCCCAGCCGACCCTGCAGCTCTGCGATGAGCCGCTCCTGGGACGGGGTCCTGCTCAGGGTGGCGGGGTCCAGCCGGCGGCGAGGGGAGGGCTCCCGGGACCTGGGGTGTGCACGGCCCGTCTCCTGGCTCCTGATCTCGGAGCGGATCTGGGGGAGGGGAGGGGGAGGCTGTCACAGCCCCACTCTGGGCTTGGGCACGACGCCGCGCAGTCCACACTCAGGTGCCCCGGGGGAGGGGAGGGCAGAACAAAAGCACCGAGAAGAGCCAAGGTGAGGTGGGTGGAGGCAGGGAGCAGGACTGGCTCGGGAGACCTCTGACCCAGCGTTCACCTCCAAATCAGCCTCTGACCCCGGGCAAGGCACTTAACGTCCATGGGCCTCAGCTTCTCTGTCCTTAAAATGCAGTAACAGTATTTTCTTGGCTTACCTCACAGGGTCATTGCAAGAATTATTTGAGAGGATGTAAGTGGACACTCTTGACAGAGCATAA